AAGATGGATACGTTAAAAGTTAGTTATTAAGTATGTTTTATTTAAGAGATCAAAAGGTATTTACAATCCTCCGCAGCTGAGGCACATATAAATCTGTTTTATATTAATTATTTTTTATCCTCTATGAAAAAATAAAATTGAAACGTGTTTTATTATATATACTCTGAAACGTCATTGAGTTGTTGGTGAAGATGAAAGAAGTAAAACGATGTCAAAGTTTTGTAATCATAATCAACCTACGCCGATATAAGTATGATTAAAAAGAGATGAATTGATGGCAGGTAGAAAAGCATATTATCTTCTGTAGGACAGTAACAGAACAAATCGGGTTAGCGACTTTCTATCCAGACTGTAATACTCAGTATAATTTATATATGTTTTAGGCAGACACTGACAAAGTGGTAGTAACATTGGCAACTGTTCCAAAACTGAGTTTTGCCGAAAAAAGGTACTTTACGTGCATTTCAAACAATAGGACTCTACCATTTCTACCAGCCAGATGTAAACAACCACCTACAATAAATTTAACAACTTTTGTTTGTCACCGGAAGTGGGACTGGTATTGCGGACTGAAATTATCCCTTGTACACGCTTTCGACTCCATTTGAGTAACAATTTTTTTCCGAATTTAAAATTACGTTCAAGCTGTTGTTCAAGCCTAAAATAAAATTTAAAATTAAATCTTTCCGAAACAGTATGGCAAATATGTAGTGAACAAAAAATATTTACACCTTATACAAAAAAATGAGGTTTACGATGCGCAAGCATATGATATACGTAAAATTAAAAGTGCAAGTCAAAGTTAATATGCATACAAAATAGCAGCTGCTTCTATTAAAAATTTAAAATTAATTATTTAAATCCTTACAAAACGATATACTAACAAACAGTTTAAGCAAAGTCGAATTTTTAAATAAACTGCCTTCTGCCATGCAGTTAGCCGCCAAAATAATTAACATGAATATTTTAGTACTTACATAAAAAACCACCGTTGAATGCTTAGAATTACTTGCATACAACGTACTAATGATTTGCGTTGAAGAAAGTAAAAAATTTTGCTATGTGGCTAATAGCTTCAAGGACACGCTATTATTCATTTTCAAACGATTGCGGCTAATAATTTTAACAATTTATTGTTATTTACTTGGTAAATATATTTTTATTTTTATTACTATTGTTTTGTTGCAAACGATAAAGTAAATAACAAAACCAAACTCTTATACATTATTAAGTTTAAGAAAAATTTTCCGCCAAAAATATTCTATTTGTAATGAATGGGCATCTCCGAGAGTGCAGATAGTAGGAAAATAATAAAAATATTTACTTATACCGGAAATATTGTTAATTCTCTTATTTCAAGTTTAGCCTACAAATGTGGAAAATCCCTCCCGTTCGTAAATAGTACCTTGGCGCGACCAATTTTTGCTTTACATGATGTTCCTGTAATTCAGACAAACAACACATCCTTGATAGGAATAAATCACATATCTACAGATGATTCCCCGACAGTAGGAGGTACTTTAATATTTACATATATTTAATATATTTACCGAAAACAATTTAAGTACGGAAACAAAATAAATAACTGGAAAGAATTAACTGTAGCCAAAATAGGAAAATGAATCAGTGAGTTTTACATCTTTCCGGTTTTGAACGGTCAAGGGTAAATTCAGGTACCCGGGTTTTGTTTGCAATTATTATGGCTAGACAGGCACTGCGGCTTGTGTACTAAAACTTATTTCCGTACAGTAAAATGTAGAATTCTACGGATCGGTGCTGCATTTATTCACATTTTAGCAATTCACTAACAGGAGGCAGCATCTCCCGGGTCGTTTTATTCTCACTTTGACCAGGCAGATATTTGGCCTCCAGACGCGAGCCTTAAAAACAGAGACAATTGGGCCCCGGAAAAGGTTTCACGTTAAAAAAACACTATTGGAGCCCCTGAGAAGGTTTCATCTTCTCAAACTAAAAGCCCCCGAGAAGGTTTTAATCTTCTTTAAAAACAGACAGTTGGGGCCCCGAGAAGGGTTCACATTAAAAAAAAAAACATTATTGGAGGCCCTGAAAAGGTTACAGGTTATTATTAGAAAAAAAAACAGTTGGGGTCCTCGAGAAGGTTTCACTTTCTTCCAAAAAAGACCATTGGGGCCCCGGAGACGGTTTCATATTCTTAAAAAAAAAAGACAGTTTGGGTCCCTCGAGAAGGTTTTTTCCTCTTAAAAATGAGACAATTTGAGCCCCCGAGAAGGCTTTAATCTTTTTTAAAATCAAAGCCAATTGGGACCCCGAGAAGGTTTCACATTCTAAAAAAAAATACAAATGGGGGCACCGAGGAGGTTTCACCTTTTTCCTTCTAAAAAAAAAACATAAGCTCCCGAGAATTAACTTTCTTTGGAAAGAAAGACAGTTGGAGCACCCAAGAAAGTTTCACTTAAAAAAAGCCTATTGGAGTCCCTGAGAAGGTTTCACATTTAAAAAAAACATTTGGAGCCCCAAGAAGGCTGCACATTATTAAAAAAAAAAAAAAACAGTTGGGGCACCTGAGGTTTTACAATCTTAAAAAAAAGACACTTCTGCTCCCCGAAAAAGTTTCAGATTCTTTAAAAATTAATTCAGTTGAGATGCGGAAGAAGGTTTTAGATTTTTAAAGAAAATAGTTGGGATCTCGGAGAAGGTTACTTTTCATAAAATAAAAGTTGGCGCCTGGAGAGGATTTCACATTCTTAAAAAAAAAAATTGGAAAATTATTTCAACAGAAATTTCTTTTCCCTTGAAGTGCAGCCCGACAAATCTTTAATAAACTTAATAATTCAATACTTACGCAGTTAAAAATTTTCACGTTTCAAAAATCGTCCTTTGAACAGTACAAATCTATGTTTAATACGACCAATTTGTGACCAATTTTCAACAAAATTTTTGAAATTTAAAAAGATAGATTTTCTTGTAGATTTCAGGCTGTAGAAGTCACTCCCGCTTTCATTTCTTCGATAACTCCAATGGTTTTTCCAGAATCGTTCTTTGAACGGTACAAATCTATGAAAAATACGACCAATTTGCGACCAATTTTCAACGAAATTTTCGAAATTTCACTTAATACATTTTCTTGTAGATTTCGAGCCGTAGAAGTCACTCCCGCTTTCGTCTCTTCTATAACTCCAATGGTTTTTCCAGAATCGTCCTTTGAACAGTACAAATCTATGCAAAATACGACCAATTTGCCACCAATTTTCTACGAAATTTTCGAAATTTCACTTAATACATTTTCTTGTAGATTTCCGACCGTAGAAGTTACTCCCGCTTTCAATTCTTCTACTACTCCAATGGTTTTTCCAGAATCGTCCTTTGAAAAGTACAAATCTATGCAAAATACGACCAATTTTCAACGAAATTTTCAAAATTTCATTTAATACATTTTCTTGTAGATTTCGGGCTGCAGAAGTCACTCCCGCTTGCATTTCTTTGATAACTCCAAAGGTTTTTCCAGAATCGTCATTTGAACACTACAAATCTATGCAAAATACGACCAATTTGCGACCAATTTTCAACGAAATTTTCGAAATTTCACTTAGTACATTTTCTTGTAGATTTCGGAACGTAGAAGTCACTCCCGCTTTCATTTCTTTGATAACTCCAATGGTTTTTCCAGAATCGTCCTTTGAACAGTACTAATCTATGCAAAATACGACCAATTTGCGACCAATTTTCAACGAAATTTTCGAAATTTCACTTAATACATTTTCTTGTAGATTTCGGGCCGTAGAAGTCACTCCCGCTTTCATATCTTCGATAACTCCAATGGTTTTTCCAGAATCGTCCTTTGAAAAGTCCAAATCTATGGAAAATACGACCAATTTGCGACCAATTTTCAACGAAATTTTCGAAATTTCACTTAATACATTTTCTTGTAGATTTCGGGCCGTAGAAGTCACTCCCGCTTTCATATCTTCGATAACTCCAATGGTTTTTCCAGAATTTATACAACATAAAGTTGGCGCCTGGAGAGGATTTCACATTCTTAAAAAAAAATGGAAAATTATTTCAACAGAAATTTCTTTTCCCTTGAAGTTCAGTCCGACAAATCTTTAATAAATCTATTAATAATTCAATACTTACGCAGTTAAAAATTTTGACGTTTACAAAATTGTCAAACTTGTCCAAACGTAACGTTTAAAATGTTGGCAGTTAATTTTAGGTCTCCTGTTTTTTTTTGGCGACAAATTTAAAGGAATCTCGTGTTCTGTTGCTGGATGAAGTTGAGCTTTTAGTGTTTTATTTTTTACGAATATGAAAAATTCTTGAGTGCCGCGGTGTTTTTTCTTTTTTAATTCTTGGAAGTACTTTGGAGCCTCTAGTGTCTTTTCTTGTAATAAATTAATTAAATTTGCTAAAATCAGTCTCATCTTAGCAGCTACTAGCCCCGCCCACCCACCCTTTCTTTTCTTAGAGGCTATGTCATTTGCCAAAATCAGTTTTATCTTAGCAAAAACTGATGACCCTCTTACAAAAAATTATCAAAATTTGGAAACTTTTGTTGATTTTGTTTATAATTTATAAATGTCTTGTTAAATGTTTTTGTTTTCGGTTTATGTATTAATAAAATATAACAGCTTGTTTTATTAATAATAATGCACGACTGCTGGAATGGAGCATTATCCATAACCATTACCATTTTCCAAGCAAAAATTTACGATCAATAATATTTCGAAAGTGGCAATTATTACAAACCGAAAAACAATTAACCTACTTAATTGTTTTTCATTCACATGCGATAAAAAGAAAACGTTCGCTTATCAAAGCGTAATTATAATCATTTCAGCACTTTGATTATAGTCGTCACACATTTCAAGTATGTTTCAATCACATTTCCAATTAAAAATTTGCAATTAGTTCGTGTCACAAATGAAAAAGATAAAACAGTTACACATCAACTACAATTACGATATTAGTTCCGTTATTAACCACTAGTTTTGTCTCTAATCACTGATAAAAACAGCCACAACGCAATAAAAATTTATTTACTATCAGCTACGTTACAATCATCATCATCATGCTTGAGTGAGATTATCAGTTGCGTCGTCGTCGTTGCTACACACCGGTTTTTCGCCCTTAAGCAACATTTGTATTTCCTCTAACGTCTTTCCTTTGGTTTCTGGGACGATGACGATTGTGAACACCGTCGTTACAAGCGACAACGCAGAAAATAAATAGAACGGGACATGATAGCCATAGCTTTCGCTCAGCCCTTTGTACAACTCAATCGAAAGCAAGCCGAAAATTAAATACATAGCATCGGCTATAGTCATCCCCATGGCTTTAACCCTATTAGAGAACAGCTCCGCACTTATCACTATCGGCACCATCCCTAACCCGATTTTGAACACCGCTGCATATGCCATCACACACGCTATCGGTATCCAGCTGACGCTGCGCACGTCGTATCCTACAGTCTTCAAATTGAAATAAATAGCTAAAACTAAGAGGCAGATCCCGGTGAGGCTGCTTGACGTGATTAAGAGGAACTTTCGTCCGTATTTGTCTACGAAGAAGGATGAGAAAGTGGCTGCTGTCAACATGCAGACGGAGAAGATTATGGCTGTGGTGGTGGACTTGAGGTAGACGGAGCCGGCTTCGGTGAGAATCGAATGCATGTTCATGAGCATGACGCTGATGCCGCAGAAGTGTTGGGCGGCGTTGAGGACCGTCATCACAATGAGGGCTTTCCGGTTGCTTTTGACCAGAAGGAGATCTTGAGGGCGACCTTTTTCCTTCTTTTGGCGCTCAATCGCTCTGGATATGTCTTCCAGTTCGGCTTCGTTGTTTTTGGTGGTTCGAAGACGGTCTAGAGCTTTTCGGGCCGAGTCGACTTTGTTTTTTGATAGGAGGTAGTACGGGGACTTTGGCATGAAGGAGAAGGAGGCGAGTTGGGTGATTAAGAGGAGACTCCCGACGATGGAAGGTACATAGAAGGGTGTGAAGGGAGCGATTAGGTAGATGAGTAGGATCCCGAAGAGCATCATTAGGTAGATGAGGCTGGATAGTAGACCGCGGATCTTTTGGTCGGCGATTTCGGCGACGTACATAGGAGTGGCTACGAAGGCCATGTCACCTGCCAGTCCTGAGAGAAACCTGGCAACGTAGAGACACGCGACGTTGGGTGCCAGCGCTATTAAAATCCATGACAGCAGGCTAGTGCAGGACGACACAATCGTGGAGTTTTTACGCCCTATTTTATCGACCAGGTAGATAGTAACCGGCAGGCCTGCAATCCCTCCAATCAGGTACATGGTTTCCAGCCAGCTTTCGTCGGTTTTCGAGATCCTGATGGGTGTGTCGTCCGACTGGAGAATAGGTATGATGGGCGCTGACCACCCGTAGTGCATTCCATCATTAACGGCACTGATTGTACCTACGACAATCCTTGAATTCTGAGCTTACATAACCCAAAAGTGCTCTCACCTGTCAGCGAGGCGACGACCTGAGGCAGCGTCCCAGTGAACATGTGTCGGATACCGGTCTTTTGTTTCTGCATTTTGTGTCATCTGCCAGTCACTACACCAACTTATTGTTAATAACGACTGGGCGGCGTCACGGAAAGGTCGCCACAGGTATAAATTTTGATAACATTGAACGAAATGATGGAATAAATTGGCTTTTTAAAAGTGGTTACCGCACGGACGAGTATCCACTTGTAGGTGAAGCGTGAGTCGAAACGAGATAATAATAATCATATCTAAATTACCATTGCGCGCAATACCTGTGTTGATGGTAGTCTTTACCTTGGAAGTCGTACAGTGTTTCATGAGTTTGTTATGCTTTATTTTTGCTGGGTCATCTTTGATTTATAAATAGACACGTATTGGAAGTATGTGGATTCGCGTTACGCGGTGACGTCGTTTTTGCTGCGACGAATTTGCCTTGGCAACTGGATGGGGTCTGGGCCGCCTGTTTCCGTCGGCGTTTGGTGGATTTGGAGGGAACTTGGCCAGGTGACGGTTTTTGCGAGGCTGAAGTGCTCGGTGTTATCTAATATGTTCCCATGTGTGTTCATTTCCTCAATGCGGTCTTATCAGCTGATTATCTTTGTAGACTAGTCGTCGTCTGAGAACGGTCGAAACGGTTCAACGAAATCGAAAATATTTCTTTCCGCGTGTCGGTCGGACGTCGGCGCCTGTCTGTCTGTTGGCGATTCTAATTTTAACTCTTGGAAACCTCCACACTTCAAGCATACTTGAAGATTATCAGGCAAATTGTCCACCGTTAATCAAAAATTTTCTCTTCGTCAAAAATTCGATGACATTATTCCAGTCTTGCTAAATTTACTTCACTTGAAATTTATATTGCAACATATTCGTTTATCTATGACTTCATGTTGCCATGCATAGGAGGTATTAATTTGTCTTAGATATAATCTAGATAAGAAAGCACCTTGAGATCTTGATAACACGCTAAACTTGTGTATTCAAATTTTCTAAAATAGCATACCCCTGTACTTGTGGTTTATGAATCCGCCTTGAGTTTTTACCCTAGTCATTCAGATTTTCGCAAAAAAAATCGAAATTTTAAAACATTTTATGGAAATATACGAGAAAGTTGTCGTTTCAAATTCACACTTTTTATAATAATAATAAGACCAGGAAATTTTGGCCCATTTTATTCTGCCCAAATGCTTTGGGATATGGAACTTCCTTAAAGCACAAGTTCAGTTCCCTCATGGGCCACTTTTATACTTTCCGAGCGTAAGCCAAAGTTATCCTAAAAATTTTTGGAATACAATACTGTTATTTTTCAATTTCCATTTTACAGTAAATAAAATAAGTAAATGAAATGAAGAAAGAAGCTGGGCGGGGCTAAATTTAGCGTTTTCCTAGTTTTATGAGCAAGCAGTAGCCCCGCCCACCCACCCCTTCTTCGTTCCAGTGACTACTCTTAATGTTGTTCAGTCCTAGCTTAGCAAGTTTTAGCCCCGCCCACCCACCCTTTTTTTATTAGAAGATATGTCATTTACCAAAGTCAATCTTACCGTAGCAAGTACTACACTCTCCCACTCACCCTTTATTTTCTTAGAGGGTATCAATCTTCTCTTAGCAGATACTAGCCCCGCCCACACACGCTGTTCTCATTCTAACGATTTTATCTCTCCTCAATTGAGATCCACCTTTGATTCGGACTAGACAAAATGAATCACTGAAATGGAGGCAGGGTGGGTGGGCGGGGTGAATTATATGTTCTTTTGTAAAGTGGGAATAGGAACTAATAGAACGTAGACTGTTAATTATAATTTTCTTGTTATACTACTTTTTTGTTATAACATTTCTTTTTTATTCCTGAATAAAACAATGAGAGAACGGGTGGGTGGGCGGGTCTAAGTTTAATTTTTCCATTCAGAATCTTTTATACGTAAGCAATAACCCCACCCACTCACCCCCTCTTCGTTCCAGTGATTTCTCTTAACATTGTTCAGCCAGTTGTATTATTTATTTGTTGCAATATTTATTTCTTATTTCTGAAGAAAAAAATAACACAACGGGTGGGTGGGCGGGGCTAAGTTTAACTTTTCCATATAGAATCTTTTATACGTAAGCAATAGCCCCACCCACCCACCCCCTCTTTATTCCACTGATTACTCTTAATATTGTTCAGTCAGTTGTACTATTTATTTGTTATAACATTTATTTCTGAAGAACAAAATGAGAGAGCTTTCTCAGTTTAACTTTTCCATATAGAATCTTTTATAAACAAGCAATAGCCCGGCCCGCCCACCCACCCCCTCTCTTCATGCCACTGATTACTCTTAATATTGTTCAGTGAGTTGTACTATTTATTTGTTATAACATTTATTTCTGAAGGACAAAATGAGAGAACGGGTGGGTGGGCGGGTCTAAGTTTAACTTTTCCATATAGAATTTTTTATAAACAAGCAATAGCCCCACCCACCCACCCACCTCCTCTTCATTTCAGTGATTACTTTAATATTGTTCAGTCAGTTGTACTATTTATTTGTTATAACATTTATTTCTTATTTCTGAAGAAAAAAATGAGCGAACGGGTGGGTGGGCGGGGCTAACTTTAATTTTTTATCACGCTTTTATTAGCTTGGGTTGTATGTATGTATGTAACGGAATCTTTGAGCTTAATTTTCATCGGTTTCTAAAAGTCTGATCATCTTGAAACTTTGCACACGTCTCAAGGATCGATGACAATGCAATAATTTGATAACAGTTTCCCATTATCCTTATTAGGACCGCCAGGATTTATAAATTCTTTTATGGATCCTGTGTAGTGGAGTAAAAGAGATAAAGCTAGCGCGCGATCTGCGCATGCCTGTAGTATCTGGTTTACTCTTCGTTGTAATAATTATAGTCTTGATTAAAATACAAATAACGAATATTAAATGAAAAAAACAAGAACGGACTTTTAATTAACTAAACGTGTGCAAATAAAATGGCTGATCGCATCTTAATTGTGTCAGTATATACCACGGTTATCTCTCTCCGTGTCGATTATACCGATCTATACCGATTATTTCTGTTTCAAGGACAATTTCTGCATAGCTTTGGTTTTACAGTCGGTAAAGAAGGAATTAATTATAATTAAAACATATCTAATCATGAATTCTCACCAACTTAAATAAAGATAACAAATTTTGATTCAGAAATACAAACATGGAGGAAAATTAACTATTTGGGGGGTAAAACTAACCACAATGATGAATTGTGTCCCGTTGGTCCGTGAGGGCGATTGATTTCGAACTAATTCCCGTTGATCGATCATACGGAGACCACTGAGTGGTTCTTTCTAGAAAAATCTAAATAAGTAATTAATTCCCCAATTTATGAATTTGTCGCAGACTAAAAAATGAAAAATAAATAATAGTTTAAAAAACTAAAAAAACACGCTTTTATTGCTAATCGAACTAAAAACTAGAAAATAATTTTTAATGACAGAGTTTAATATTACAGTAGTAGAAGATCAAACAATCAATCATAATAAATCACCTCAAATTAAAATTATAATAAAATTTAAGTTATTAACAGAATAATTCAATTCAGAGTAAAAAGCGTGGGGTGCATTTTACTGCGGTTCATAACTATCCTCTCATAGATAGTTGCCAATAGAATGATTGTAATATTTAAAATATCAAGCACCCCACGCTTTTTACTCTGAATTGAATTATTCTGTTAATAACTTAAATTTTATTATAATTTTAATTTGAGGTGATTTATTATGATTGATTGTTTGATCTTCTACTACTGTAATATTAAACTCTGTCATTAAAAATTATTTTCTAGTTTTTAGTTCGATTAGCAATAAAAGCGTGTTTTTTTAGTTTTTTAAACTATTATTTATTCATTTAGAATCTTTTATATGTAAGCAATAGCCCCACCCACCCACCCCCTCTTCGTTCCAGTGATTACTCTTAATATTGTTCAGTCAGTTGTACTATTTATTTGTTATAACATTTATTTCTGAAGAACAAAATGAGACAACGGGTGGGTGGGCGGGTCCACGTTTAACTTTTCCATATAGAATCTTTTATAAGCAAGCAATAGCCCCACCCACCCACCCCCTCTTCGTTCCAGTGATTACTCTTAATATTGTTCAGTCAGTTGTACTATTTATTTGTTATAACATTTATTTCTGAAGAACAAAATGAGACAACGGGTGGGTGGGCGGGTCCACGTTATCTTTTCCATATAGAATCTTTTATAAGCAAGCAATAGCCCCACCCACCCACCCCCTCTGCATTCCACTGATTACTCTTAATATTGTTCAGTCAGTTGTACTATTTATTTGTTATAACATTTATTTCTGAAGAACAAAATGAGACAACGGGTGGGTGGGCGGGTCCACGTTTAACTTTTCCATATAGAATCTTTTATAAGCAAGCAATAGTCCCACCCACCCATCCCCTCTTCATTCCACTGATTACTCTTAATATTGTTCAGTCAGTTGTACTATTTATTTGTTATAACATTTATTTCTGAAGAACAAAATGAGACAACTGGTGGGTGGGCGGGTCCACGTTTAACTTTTCCATATAGAATCTTTTATAAGCAAGCAATAGCCCCACCCACTCACCCCCCCTTCATTCCACTGATTACTCTTAATATTGTTCAGTCAGTTGTACTATTTATTTGTTATAACATTTATTTCTGAAGAACAAAATGAGACAACGGGTGGGTGGGCGGGTCCACGTTATCTTTTCCATATAGAATCTTTTATAAGCAAGCAATAGCCCCACCCACCCACCCCCTCTTCATTCCACTGATTACTCTTAATATTGTTCAGTAGTTGTACTATTTATTATAACATTTATTTCTTATTTCTGAAGAAAAAAATGAGCGAAGGGTGGGTGGGCGGGGCTAACTTTAATTTTTTCATTTAGAATCTTTTATACGTAAGCAATAGCCCCACCCACCCACCCCCTCTTCATTCCAGTGATTACTCTTAATATTGTTCAGCCAGTTGTATTATTTATTTGTTACAATATTTATTTCCTATTTCTGAAGAAAAAAATTGGTCTAAAGAGTTTAGACAGTACTTCCCTCGCTGTCGGAAACTTGACGACTGCATGCCTATTGTGTTTTTTTTCTCATTACATTTTTGTAGTGGGAATTTAAAAAAAAATTGCGATGACGTCATCAACATTTTTGCAAGGACACGTATATCAGTTGGGATAGATGTAGTGTAATACTAAGAATAAAATTCATTAATTTTTTTGAGTCACTCTGTATATGCAAATCCAAAAAATTTGAATGGAGTGATAAATGACAAGTACAGGCTCATCATATTTTGTACATTTTAGATATGAATTATTCGGCAAACTTTCGAGCTGACGTCATCAAATTTTTGGAGGGGATAAGCAAATATATTTTGACTAAACATTTATTATGCTCTTTATGACCTTAAAACATCTGCAAGATTTCAGAGCATTCGGTTTTGTAGTTCCTGATTAAATCAATAAAATATATTTACGCATTCATTAATTTTTTTGAGTCACCCTGTATATGCAAATCCAAAAAATATGAATGGAGTGATAGATCACAAGTACGGACTCGTCATATTTTGTACATTTTAGATATGATTTATTCCACAAACTTTTGAGCTGACGTCATCAAGTTTTTGGAGGGGATAAGCAAATATTTTTTGACTAAAGATTTATGATGCTCTTTATAGCCTTAAAACATCTGCAACATTTCAAAGCATTCTGGTTAGCAGATTAAAAATTAAATTTCAAAATGTTGTTTTATAATTTTGATTTTTTTTCCAAAAATCTGGACGTTTCGGGTGAAAAGTCGATTCAGAGTTGTAAACTACATGTGTAGGACTATGTTATTTTATACAATTGAAAACCCATTTACTATGTACAATTTTGAAGTGACGTCATCGCATTAGTGGTGGGGATGATTAGACAAATTTTGGTTAGCGTTTTACCATCTACATGATATTCTTAATATAAGTACAAAATTTCACAACAATCGGTCGAGTACTTTCGGAGATTATCTGTCTAATAAAAATCCGGGGGCAGACGGACAGACGGACAGACGGACGGACAGACGGACGGACAGACGGACAGACAGACGGAAATGGGAGACCTATTTCTTCGTCTTCTAGGGGTCATGAAAGATCGAGAAAACGTAAAAGTAGAGAGTCGGCCGACGGACTCGATTACAATACTTCCTTTGCTTACGCTCGGGAAGTAAAAATGAACTAACGGGTGAGTGGGCGGGCTAAGTTTAACTTTTTCATTCAGAATCTTTTATACCTAAGCAATAGCCCCGCCCACCCACCCGTTCTTCATTCCAGTGATTACTCTTAATATTGTTCAGTCATTTACCAAAATCAATCTTATTTTAACTGTTTTCTTAGGGAGTATGTAATTGCCACAGTCAGTCTTATCTTAGCAAGTACAACACTGCACCAATCCAAGTTGATATTCGTGTCCTTGGAAAAATGTTGATGAGGTCATCACAAAATTGTGTAAAGTAAAAACTCAACTCGGAAATGCGGGATATGTTTCATTGTACTTTCGGTGCTAGGGATGTTTTGTTGAAACAACTTGCGACCGATTTTTTTAATGTGAAACCTTCTCGGGGGTCCCAACTGTCTTTTTTAAAAATGTAAAGCTGTAAAATTTCCTTACAGTGTGTGCTGCCATATTTAAAAAAAAATCTGGTTTTGTTTTATTGTACTTCAAGATAGAGCAAAATTCCGTTTAATAACCTGAGACAAATCTCCGATTTATTGGATGAGTTACAGAAAACAGCATACACAACATTTTCTTTGCATCTTATTCTAAATCACAAGTAGCTATCAACGATTTCTAAACCTACATAGAAGAATTTAACAATAACAAAGGTGTTATCACTTCTAGTCACAGATTATTGCCTCTATGTACATGATCTAAGCTTGCGAATTGGCAACAAACTATCAACTTTAATGCCTAACTTCACCCTCTTTATCTTCAACACTGTCCTTACTTTTACTACCATTTTCAAGACCCCGTGGGGGATACGGTTCCCCCTTCAAGATAAACTGGATCTCATCCAGAGTTTTCCCCTTAGTTTCCGGAATGAAGAAAGCGGAAAACACCGCCGTGACCAAACAAGCCCCCCCAAACATAAAAAAGGGAACCTGAATCCCGTACTTTTCACTCAACACATGGTACACCTCAATGGAAACCAGCGCAAAAACTAAATACATCATATTGGAGGCGGTTATCCCCATCGCTTTAACCCGTGCAGGGAAAAGCTCCGCCGTCATCACAATCGGCACCATTCCTAACCCCATCTTGAAAACCGCTGCATAAACCATCACCGCCACCGTCGGTATCCAACTGACCGCCGCCACATCAATATCCGAATTCTTCAACTGAAAGTAGATCGCCACGACGAGTAGTGACAGCCCAGTTAGGAAACTAGAAGTGGTTAGAAGAATCTTGCGGCCGTACCTATCGATAACGAACGACGCCGACGACGCCGCTGAAAGCATCACCGCTGAAAAAATAATCGCCGCCGCTTTGGGAGCGATGTAAATCGACCCCGCCGCCTCCAAAATCTTGTGCAAGTTCATCAATATCACACTAATACTGCTGAGGTGCTGCGACCCGTTGAGGACACTCATAATCAACAAGGCTTTGCGATTGCTCTTGACTAGTAGGAGGTCTTGGGGGCGGCCACGCTCGCTGCGTTGTCGCTGCACAGCCTGAGCTATCTCTTGTAACTCTTTATCCACGTTCTGGGTGCCTCGGAGGCGGCGTAGCGACTTCTGCGCCGCCTCGTACCGGTTTTTGGCTAGAAGGTAGTATGGCGATTCGGGCATGAAGGGGTAGGTGATGAGTTCGAAGATTAAGAATACCGCCCCCACGACACACGAGGCATAAACGGGGACGAACGGTCCCACTGAGTAGATTATTAGGATTCCTATGAGCATCATTAGGTAGATGACGCCGGAGAGGAAACCCCGGATTTTTTGGTCGGCGATTTCGGCGATGTACATGGGGGCGGCGACGAAGTTGACGTCGCCGGAGAAGCCCGCGAGGAATCGGGCGGCGTAAAGACACTCGATGGAAGTGGCGGCGGCGATGGTGGTCCAAGCGATGAGGCTAGTAACGCAGGCGCCTAGGATGGTTTTTTGGCGGCCTATTCGGTCGACTAGGAAGATGGTTACGGGTAGGCCTGCGATCCCTCCGAGGAGGTAGATGTTTTCGAGCCAGGCGGCGTCGGATTCGGTGATTTTCACAGGGCTGGTGTCGGATTGGAGGACGGGGATGAGGGGGGCGGACCAGCCGTAGTGCATTCCATCGGAAAGGGCGCTCATGGTACCTAGAGGAATGAAAAAATCACCAACCAAAAAATAGGGACGTTGCGTCTAACGCGTATTCGTTACGTAACCCTGTGTAACAAAAATTACGAAAAATTAAAAATAGGTACTTACCAGTAATGACAGCGATCAGTTGAGGGAGAGTTCCCTTAAAAATTTGAGTTACACTTGTGTCCCGCATGGTTACAGCACCTCAAATTGAAACTGATTGACCAGCTGCTGTGTTAACGATCATGGAACAAGTCATTGCGATAATTAGATGAAATTGTATCGTCTATTGGCAATATTTTAGCACTAAATTGAGGAATGTTAAAAAGTGTGTCCGTTTTTTGTCGTGTACATTTTTTTTGACCAAGTTTTTTTATGTCGGCGGTAATTGCTTAAGATCTCGTTAAGTAGTCTTTAAATATTTTTGTTCGTGTTTTTTATGAATAAACTTTTTGTTTTCTAAGTTTTTAACACACGATTTCTTTACCACACGATGGAGTTTGAGACTCTGGCTCTCTAAAATTATGACTTTGATGTTCTTTAGCAGTATGAAACTTGTAATCTTGTGTAAAAACTTCTTTAGAAAAGTAACGACATTGAAACTGGTTATAGCAGGCGAAGTTCATTAAATTGATTTATTTTATAACAATATTGGCACTTGCACTTGCTATAAATTGAAGGATGTATCACGCGAATCAATTGAAGTAAATGGTCCATCCATGACACTCACTTTTCCTCGTGCTCACTTTGCACACTCACCTCGGAGAGTCGTACTCACAGCTAATTTTTTTCTAGAGAATCAGGCAGTGAACTTTTTCCTTTAAATACTCGTACTTTAGTAAACAAGTAAATGCTGTTTGGTTTTCTTAAACCGTTTCGTTTTATTACTGCAATTTACATTGTGGCACTTTTTATATTTGTGTATTTGGCTTTGTTAGCTATCATTAGATGTCTATCCATTAAATTAAAAGCAAATTGAGTAATTTACGTCATTTAGTTAAATTTACGCAAGCATTATTGTTTGAGAAAAAAATCAAGATCTTGTTTTCACGTGCTAACGTATCCGTGGAAAATATTCTCGTTTCCAGTTACTTGTTACTTGGTTTCTAGGTTGTTAATTTTTTTTTTTTTTTATTTATGTGGTGTTTGAAGTGTACGAGTGCTGATCAAAGTGTAGTGTTTACACCACAGTTTTACACTTGTTAAGTATGCAGCCAGTAAAATTACTTAATGAGGAGATATATTTTGAGTATTAAATTGTATAATTTTTAGGTCACTTAATTTTCCTGACACCCTAATAACTCTTTCGAATTATACTACTGTACATCCGTTGCTTCTGCTTCTCTTATATTCATTGTTATTTTAAAGTTGATTAAAGCTAATGCCATGAAAATATTGAAATTTTGAAAAAGGATATAAGTGGGGCTTTATCTTTGGCTTTCTTTTTTACTTAAAACATAGTTTTCTTTGAACAACACAGTTTTTTGGAGAAAAATAAGGATTGCAATTATGCTTTGCCCTCCAGTGCACGATGAATAAAAAAAATCATCACAATTGAGATAGGGTGGGTGGGCGGGGCTTATATTTTGATTTTTTTTTCTTAATATAATTAGCCATCTTTTCACAACAAGAAATTTAAAACAGAGTTAAAATGGTAAATGCAAAATCGATATTTCTTTATATACAAATGTTCCATTGTAAACATGTTTTAGGTTTCATGTTGTGAAAAGAAATCTACACATATTAAAGCAAAAAGTCAAAATGAAAGCCCGCCCACCCGCCCAATCTCAATTGTAATGATTTTTTCATTCTTAGAAACTTAAAAAACGTTTAAAATGATAAATTTTTGTAACAATATGGATTTTGCAATTAATCTCCGCCCCTAGATCCATCAACGAATGAAAACTTCATTACTATTTAGATCAAGCAGGTATGGGTGGGGCTTAATCTTTGCCTTTAATTTTTTCTTAATATAGATAGTATTCTTTGAACAACGCAAAACCATGTTTTTAATTTCTCATAGAGAAATAAGAAATTTGCAGTCAAGTTCCGCCCCCTTGGCTCACAACGAATACAAAAATCATCAGAATTGAGACCGGGTGGGTGGGCGGGGCTTATATTTTGCCTTGTTTTCTTAATATACGTAGCCATCTTTTCACAACAAGAAACTTAAAACATGGTTAAAATGGTACATTTTTGCAAGGAAGTATGGATTTTACATTTAATTGCAAAATCGATATTTCTTTATACAAATGTTCCATTTTAAACATATTTTAAGTTTCATGTTCATGAAAAGAAGTCTACACATATTAAAACAAAAAGGCAAAATGTAGGCCCGCCCACCCGCCCTATCTCAATTGTGATGATTTTTTTTTATTCGCCGTGGCGGAGCTTGACTGCAAAATACTTACTCATTTACAATAAATTAAAAACATGTTTTTGAGTATCGTGTTCTTGAAAGAATACAATGTATATTAAGAAAAAAAGTAAAATATAAACCCCGTCCACCCACCCCGTCTCAATTGTAATGATTTTTTTTATTTGACATAAATCAAGGGGGCGGAGCTTAACTGCAAAATACTTATTTCTGTTCAACAAATTAGAAACATGTTTTTCAGTATGATGTTTTCAAAGAATACTATGTATATTACGAGAAAAAGGAAGAATGTAAGCCCCGCCCACCCGCCCTTTCTCAATTGTGATGATTTTTTTTATTCGCCGTGGACCAAGGGGGCGGAGCTTGACTGCAAAATACTTACTTATTCACAATAAAGTAAAAAAATGTTTTCGAGTATGGTGTTGTCGAAAGAATACAATATATATTAAGAAAAAAACTAAAATATAAACCCCGCCCACCCACCCCGTCCCAATTGTAATGATTTTTTTTATTTGACATAAATCAAGGGGGCGGAGCTTAACTGCAAAATACTTATTTCTGTTCAACAAATTAGAAACATGTTTTTCAGGATGATGTTATTCAAAGAAAGAATACTTTGTATATTACGAGAAAAAGGCAAAATATAAGCCTCGCCCACCCGCCCTTTCTCAATTGTGATGATTTTTTTTATTCGCCGTGGACCAAGGAGGCGGAGCTTGACTGCAAAATACTTACTTTGATACGATTTTGGTTGATTTTGTTTATTTACATGAGTTTGTGAGGTTAGTTGACAGCTCTCATTGATTCGGGGTATCGATATTTTCCCCTCCCTCAATCAATTTGGGTATTTCAGACCGCGCATGCCACAGAAAGGGAAAAAAAAAACCAGGAGGGACTCCATTTTGATTTTTCGAGTCGTTGGGAACGGGTGCAAGTGTTTTCAGGGTATCCAGTGCGAAGGGGCCATTTTTGGAGGTAGACCCCTTATTTTAGCCAGTTGTGGCATTACTCTTCTCCAAATTGCGTTAGAGACGATTTGAGGCCACCGCATTTGGGAACGAGGACGTGTGTCCTGTGTTTTTGAGACCCCCGAAAATCTACTTTAAGGCCGCACACCATCAGAGGTAATTACTGGATTGGGTTCTGGATTGAAATTTAGTCAATCTTCTTTTCAGGCCTTTTTTTTTCTTTGTCGCATTACTTTTACCATTGGGTTTTTTTTCCCTCCTCGTTTCTACGTGTTGCCATCTTTTTGCGCTCTTGGCGTGGAAAGGTTTTTCTGTGTGAAGTTTGGACGAAGGTCAACTAGCCGCCCCGCCCCACCTCATTTTCTAAGTGAGGACGCCGTGTTGAACTCCGGAAAGAAGGAGAGGCGTTAGTTATAGGGTATTAGGTATTATTTTATTTTCTTGTATTTTTTTATTATTTAAGTATATTCGCGTTCGGCATCTTCGCCACCGCCAGGAACGGCACTGTTGCGGTACGGACGCGAAGTACTCATAAGGTTAGAATAGTAATTTATTTAAGTTTTTTTTTATATTTAGATCGATAGTTTGTACTCAGTCACACAGTCACTCACCTCCCCCGTTCTAAATAAATTTAATTAATTGTAGGCTCCAATCTTTATTTTTTTTTTGTACCATCACCCACGGCCTTCCCGGTTGAGCCTAGTCGCGGTCGAGAGCCTCGTAACAACTTATTTATAATAAATTAAAAACATGTTTTTGAGTATCGTGTTGTTGAAAGAATACAATGTATATTAAGAAAAAAAAGTAAAATATAAACCCCGCCCACCCACCCCGTCTCAATTGTAATGATTTTTTTTATTTGACATAAATCAAGGGGGCGGAGCTTAACTGCAAAATACTTATTTCTGTTCAACAAATTAGAAACATGTTTTTCAGGATGATGTTATTCAAAGAATACTATGTATATTACGAGAAAAAGGCAAAATATAAGCCCCGCCCACCCGCCCTTTCTCAATTGTGATGATTTTTTTTATTCTTAGAAACTTAAAACACGTTTAAAATAGTAAATTTTTGTAGGGAAGTTTCTATTTTGCAAAGCTCCGCTCCTCGGTCTGACAACGAATGAAAAAAACATCACAGTTGAAATTGGGACGCAGATGGGTGAGGCTCAATCTTTGGCTTTATAATTTTCTTAATATACATAGTACTCTTTGAATAACACGTCTTATAGGGGAATTTTCTTCTAGAGAAGGAATAAGGATTTTGCAGTTAAATTCCACTCCTTTGGATCTCGACGATTAAAAAAAAATAATCACAATTGTAATCGGGTGGGTAGGCGGGGCTTATATATTTGTAATTTTTCTTAATATAAGTGGTTTTCTTTTTCAAAACAAGAAACTTAAAACATGTTTAAAATGGTGAATTGTTGCAGGGAAATATCGATTTTTCAATTATGCTCCGCCCCTTGGTCTGACAACGAATGAAAAATTCATTAAAATTGAAATTGGGGCGGGTATATAGGTGGGGCTTAATCTTTGGCTTTCTCTTTTACTTAAAACAAATACTCCTACTTTTCTTTGAACACAATTTTTTGTTTAAAAAAATGAGGCTTTCAATTGAGCTCCGCCCCCGGTTTACGACGAATGAGAAAAAAATCATCACAATTGAAATAGGGCGGGTGGGTGGGGCTTCCATTTTGTGTTTTTTTTTTCTTAATATAAGAAGTTTTCTTTTTCACAACAAAAAACTTAAAGCAAACGGTAAGTTTTTACAGGGAAATATCGATTTTTAAATTATGCTCCGCCCCTCGGTGTGACAACGAATGCAAAATTCATCACAATTGAATTTGGGGCGGGTGTACCTATAGGTGGGGCTTAATCTTTTGTTTTTCTTTTTTACTTAAAACAAATACTTTTCTTTGAACTGAATTTTTTGTAAAAAAAATGAGGATTTCAATTGAGCTCCGCCCCCGGCTTACGACAAATGAAAAAAAAGTCATCACAATTGAAATAGGGCGGGTGGGTGGGGCTTCCATTTTGTGTTTTTTTTTCTTAATATAAGAAATTTTCTTTTTCACAACAAAAAACTTAAAGCAAATGGTAAGTCTTTACAGCGAAATAGCGATTTTTCAATTATGCTCCGCCTCTCGGTGTGACAACGAATGAAAAATTCATCACAATTAACATCGCAGTGGTAGGTAAGGCTTTATCTTTGGCTTCCTTTTTTGCTTAAAACATACACTTTTCTTTTTCTTTGAACAACACTATGTATATTAAGAAACCCCGCCCACCCACCCTATCTCAATTGTGATGACTTTTTTATTCTTAGAAACTTCAAACACGTTTAAAATGCTAAATTTTTCTAAGGAAGTATGGATTTTGCAATTATGCTCCGCCCCTAGATCTATCAACGAATTAAAATTTCATTACTATTTAGGTCAGGGCAGC